CTCTGCGGTCACAGCCACAGCGAGCCAGCACCTTAGTGCCTCTGGGCTACCTCAGAAATAGCTGGTGGCACCCACAGCCTGTCTCTCTCCCCGTGGTGTGTGGAAAGCGGGGTGCAGTCCAGGATGGAGGCACCCACTGCTGTGTCAGTGCAGGGGTGGGACCCTGTCACCGCACGGAGCTCACTGTCATCTCTCTGTCCCCGGCCAGATGAGGCAGGGAGCCTTCCTGGTGAACACGGCGCGCGGGGGGCTGGTGGACGAGAAGGCCTTAACTCAAGCCCTGAAGGAGGGACGGATACGAGGGGCTGCGCTTGACGTGCACGAGTCTGAACCATTTAGGTAAAGATCTGATTTTCTCTTGGGTTGTCATCCATAGCAGCGTGGAGGGGACACACACACACACACCCCCCCACACCCACACACCTTGTCACACAGGGCCAGCGCCAGGGGACAGACCTCCTGGTTGGAGAAAAGCCCCAGCACCCTGCAGCATCCATCGGGTGTGGGCTGGCACCGGGGCTACAGGTGTTCAAAGGGACACCAGGAACTTAGACCAAGCAATTGGCCTGCATTTAAAAAAAAAAGAAATAAAATTTTAAAAAAGCATTTACTAGTCCACGAGAACAAATTTACTGCATTTTGTTGGGCCTTTTTGCCCACAGGCGGCTGCTGCAGCTGGGAAGGGGTTGGTTCTAAGTGGGAGCGTAGCTCCTCTCACCACAGATTGGCATAGTACTAGGAGGCTGCTTGTGTTTTCAGAAACAATTTTATATTAAAAAAAAAAAAGAAAGTGTGCTTCTACAAAGGGGGAACCCCTCCTGTTAACCCTCTCCTGCCCTGTGCTGCGGGTGACCCACAGCCTGTCCCCATGTCCCCGCTCTCTGCAGAGACACCCCCAGGCATTTATTCCTGTAGGAACATTATGAACACCACCCCAGGAGGTTGGATTTTCAGCCCTGTTGGCTCTGTTTTGGGTGCATTCTCAGTTTGTGCCCTGCACTGGAGCCTGCTGCCTCCCCAGGGGGTCTGTGGCCATTTGGGGTGGCAGGACACTGCTTTGGCTCCTGCCAGCCCAGGTGCCAGAGGCGAAGGGCTCGGGCCTGAGGGCTGCCCACAAGCCTTTCGCCATTCGTAACGTGTTTAATTCTCATTTGAAACATTGATTAATCTGTCTTTATTTCCTCCCTGCTCCCAGTTTTGCTCAAGGCCCGTTGAAAGATGCTCCTAATTTAATCTGTACCCCGCACACCGCTTGGTACAGCGAGCAGGCGTCGCTGGAGATGAGAGAAGCTGCTGCTACCGAGATACGCCGCGCCATCACAGGTACCTGCCCCACAGCTCACAGGGGGGGACAGAGCGGGGGCTTCACCCTCCCCCTGGCCCTGCAGGAGCCGGGGAAAGGGGCTGAGAAAACCCAACTTGACTTTTCTGTCATTTGGGCATGTTTATGGTTGGGAGGAGGGGGGTTTTTGTGACTTTTAGGTGGCTTTTTTAAAATCAGTGGGGCCCTTGTGCAGCATGGCAACACCTAGTGTCCATGGCTGGGGAGAAAAGGACAGTGAAACAATAATTGCTGCCCCTTTTAATGGTACTAACCCAAAAAATGGGGCCAAAACCAAATCCCAAAGCGGAGAAGGCACCTGTGGCCAACTCTTGCTGTAACTGAGCTTGCTCCAAGGGGGTGGCTGTGATACTCCAGCAGATGGTGGTTCTCTTATCCTCAAAATTGCCCCCTCATTAGTGCAGAAGGTGTAGCTTCACGTCTGGCTGCCCCTGCTTTGAAAGCAGTGGGATCCAGGGAACAGCTTTCCTGAAAGCAGGAAGCTGGGCTCCAACCCTGCACCTTGGGACAGTCAAAATGTTCTCTGGAAACAAGGGATACATGTTTTCCCCCCCAATCCTTTACATAAACATAGTGAAATGGAACATCTGTAGCTTGTTGGAGGGAGATAAAGCCGGGACTGGCCTGACACATCCTTGCCTTTATCACCCACCCCAGGGCGCATCCCAGAAAGCCTAAGAAACTGCGTGAATAAGGAATTCTTTGTCACAACGGCTCCGTGGTCAGTAATAGATCAGCAAGCGATCCATCCGGAGCTCAATGGTGCCACGTACAGGTAAAGCTGGGGAAGGGGATCCTGGCAGCGGGTTCCCGGCAGAGGGGGGGGCTGGATTCCAGCTCTGACGGGAGCAGGAAGCCCAGGGACCAGCTTCTGCCTGGCTGGGGGGGGGGCTGTGAAGTCCCCCTCCTTGGGGACACCGATGGTTGCGCTGCTGGGATTTCTAATGCTTCTGGGATTCCTAATGCTCCTGGGATTCCCAACTCTGCTTGATTTAAGCTCAGGTTTATGGAGCATCCCCTTCAGAAAGCCTTCATTCTGGTGGGCCAGAAGGCACTTGGGTGGCATCTCCCCCAGTGCCAGGACCCCCACAGCCCTAGAGAAGGACACAACCTCCAGCTGTGCTCTGTGCTTCTGTCTGTGCACTGATGTCTTGGGCAGCTTGTGGGCGAGTGAGCCAGGGCTAAAACCCCCAAATACAGGCCTGCACTCTGGTGCTCTGATTTCCACCTGAGATTTATTGCTCTGCTTTGGACAGCTTGAAGCACACCAATAGGAGATGTTAGGAATGAGGACAGCCTTCAGCGTGGCACCATTGCCAAAACCACTCAGAGATACCAAATAAACCTACTGGGGTACATCAGGTTGTGTTTTGGGGCAGGAGCGTGTCTGGCAGCAGAGCTCTTGAGAGGACGAGGCCCTGAGGATGTGCCGTGGCCCTGCAGGCTCACAGCTCCCTCCAGGATCCAGGCAGCGATTGCTCACTTTTTCCAGGAGAACATGTAGATTAAACCATCCAAACCTGGCGCCAGCCTCTTCCTTTCCCCCTCTCCTGACTGCTCTGAAACACGTGGGAGATGCCATGACCCTGGGGACAAGCCCTGGCTTCCCAGCTTGACCTCTCCAGGGTGTTTCATCCTCGAGGAGCTCCTCAGGAGCTGTGTCCCTGTACGCTGGGGTCACCTCCCCCTCTTCCTGGACAGACAGAACCTCCCCATCTCCCCCCACTTCCCCCTCAGACGGTGGCAGCAGCAGGGGGGTGATTGTGGTCAGGTCACATCTCCCCTGTGGACAGCTCAAAAAATTCTCTTTTCTGCTCCTTTCTCAAACTCAGTGTCATTTCTTAGAATAGGTGTCACTCACGCTGCTCTTATAAAGGAGGACGGATGAGATCCAACCCCATTTTTCCTCTCTGGTTCCATGAGGAAGATGCATCTGACCTTCTGTGGGGGAAAAACTTACACATTGGGTGTAGGTATTCAAAGGTTTTCACACGCAGGAATGATTAAGTCAGCACTGGCCTTTCAGAGAGCATTCAAGAGGATTCCTTACTCCACTTTTCAAAAGAGAAAGGCTTTTTTATGGCCCAGCAACCTGCCAGAAGCTACAGAACAAGGCGCAGTCCCCGTAGCGCAGTGGAGGATGTTTACCCAAGACCCGTGTCCAAGCTGGACCTCACCTTCACCTCCCCAGGTTAGAGTTGGTCCAGAATTACCCTGCAAAGGCCAGTCTAGAGCTGCGAGGGAAGAGCTGCAAGGAAAAGAGCCTGACTATAGAAAAGAACAGGGAAAGAAAGAGAAGAGCAGAGAGAAACTGGAGTCCCAGAAGCAAAATGGTGCAGGACGGGAGCGGATGGAGCCCTGAGAGCGCAGGACTCAGTAGCTGCTGGTACCTCAGGTACCTCTGCTGGGGTCCAGTGAGTGAGCTGCAAAAAAACCCCAAAACCAGCTCCTGGAGAGGAGGACATGGAATTGTCAGAGTTGGAAGGGACTTTACCTGTCGCTTGTACTTGAGTGGTCCCTTTTGGCAAAGGCGTTTTGGGTCACATTAAAGGAAATTAACTTGTGCCCATCTATTAATCAGAGGCTGAGAGTCTGCCTCAACCTCCAGGCATCTAACACAGCTTTAGAGAAGCACTCAAAAAGCAAGTGATTTCTGTTCAAACAGCTTTTAAAAAAAGCAGAGGAATTAGGAAGAGAGAAAAACCTTCAGTTTCAGGCATAAAGGTTTCAGTTAATTCATATTTTCTAGGAAATATCACCTCTGAGCCAGGGGAACATGCTCAGTTTTCCCCCGAGGGATCAGGGTCAGTTTCCTCCAGGGTCTGTGAACAGAAAAGCGACATTCTCCTGGAGAGAAGAGCCTGGGTCATTGGCTGGAGTTTAGTTACACCTGTTTTCTCCTCCCTCAGCTGTTTGGCAAAATTATGTATCTCCTCAAGGAGCTAAAGCACCAGGAAATGGTTACTACAGGTGATGGTATCACAGCTCCAGTAGTTACACACGGTATTAAAAGTGTGGAGTTCAGGCAAACAATGCAATAAGGTTTAGAACTGATCTGACTTGGTAATTAATAGCAAATATTGACTCTATCATCGTCTTCCCCATCTCTATCACTGGAGTGTTTGGGGTTTTTACATGGGTGAGAAAGGACTCTGTCACTAAAACCTGGTTCCTCTCCCTTCAAAGGATAAACTCCTGAAGCAGTGCCAGGGCTCAGACGCCCTTTGTTGGGCACAACTTGTTCAGGGGTTAAAAACACGAAAAAAACCCCTCAAATAAAGAAATAATTTTTTTGCCTGCAAAGTGTTTGCTGACATGTCTCTGCTCTGAGCTTGGGCATGAAGCCCACACCAGTGCAGGTCCCCAATAATTCCGAAGGGAACAAGTGAGTCTCAGCATTGATTGCCAGCGCCGTTAGAACCCTCGGCACGTGGGACGCTGCCGCAGCACCCAGAGGGGCAGGAAGGGACAGGGTCGTGCCCAGAAAATGAAAAAACCAGCAGTTTTGATCCACAGCAGCACCTGTTTGATGTTGAACTACCCCCAAAAAACCCCAAACTCTGCTCTAGCAGAGAGGTGGAATCTCTCTGTGCCTGAATCCCCGCGGGCCATTGGCGTTGTCGGTGACAAACCTGCTTCTCTCTGTCCCCTCTGCCAGGTACCCCCCTGGGATGGTGAGCGTGGCTCCGGGGGGAATTCCGGCGGCTATGGAGGGCATCATTCCCGGCGGCATCCCTGTCACTCACAACCTTCCCACCGTGGCACATCCTTCCCAAGCTCCATCTCCCAACCAGCCCACAAAACACGGGGACAACAGGGAACATCCCAACGAGCAATAGCAGATAATTTAAAAAAAAAAAATTAAAATAAAAATCATTCAATAAACTTGGGACCAAGAGACATTGGAAAAAAAAGAAGTTATACATGAACTTTAAAAAAAAAAAAAAAAGAATTTGATACGAAATTTGTAATGTTGATTTTTGGAGAGACGCATCATTGATGTTCCAGTGTTACCCACAAAGCGATAGCGGTCACGACCGGGGAGAAGCCCTGAAGGAGTCACCTGCTTAAACCGAAGCGCTGAAAACTAGGGATGTGATACGTTAATGATCGACTTCTGTTATTGTGTGTTAAGTTTCCTTCATCTGTGCATCAATCACATGAATAAAAAATAGATTTCCCCACCCCCCCAACCCCCCCCAATTCCTTGGGAAGGACAGGGCTCCGGCGCCTGTTTGCAAACCGTTGCGTGCAGCAGTTCCTACAGAGGTAACCTAAAAATGTAAGAGGAAACCATTATGTGGCTTCAGCCCTTTCCTTACTCTTGTATCTGGTTCCCTCTTCTAAGGGGAGGCATCAGTACTGGCTTAAAAATGGAAGAAAATAATAATACTACTCCTCCTTTTTGCAGTGTAACAGAAGTTCTCCTGCCAGGTTGAAATTCCAACCATTCCAGCCGGGAGCCGTGGGCCGGGGAGGGCAGAAAAGGAGAAAACAAACTGCCAGTCTCTTCTCTGCCCAATACACTGAATAAAGTAGCTGTGCATTCACCTCCGCCCTGCAATGATGCAAGAAAAAAAAAAAATAAATAAAAAAAAGGAAAAAGGAAAAAAAAAAAAGAAAAAAAAAGAAGAAAGTATTAAGTTTCACACACTATTTGTACTCAAATATATTTTCTCAGTTTTAAATCTGCAGCTATTTTATCAAGTGGAAAAAGTCTTGAGCTGGAAAGGGTTCAAGAATAATGTTGCATTTCCTTATGTCTCAGGAAACACTTTTTATGGTAACTTGTCAGACTGTCTATGAACAAAACCCACTTTTTTAGACATTGATAAAAGTCTTCTTTTCTTCACGTGCTATTTTATACAAGAACACTTCAAAAAAAAAAAGTGTTATTAGATGTGACTGATTTTAACAAATCCTATTAGATTTGTATCAACTAGTTACATGTTATATTCATAGTCTTTTGTGAATCATCGCCTTTTTTTTGTTTTTGAGAAGATGGCCTGTTTTGAGCCTTTGTCTGGGTACATTCCTGTTTCTGTGACAAAAAAAAAAAAAAAAAAAGAATGAAATCTTAAACTGTCCCAAACAGAAAAGAAAAAAAAAAAACCTACCACTGGCTATCAGAAGTATGTTTTGTTTTAGTGTGTTACCGTTACTGTATTTGTTTATTGTAAAGGTGGACATTTAGCGTTCAGTGCAGTTTTCAATAAAAAGTGATAAAATTTCTATAATTTCTGGAAGGTAAGAGCTGTCGCTGCATCTGCCCCAGCCTTTCCCTGGGGGACAGGGAGGAGGCAGAGGAGAGGCAGGGGAAGGCTCCGCTCGCGCTGTGGAGGTTTCACAGCAGAGAAGGGGGGTTTTCCCTCCCGTCTGAGGTCGGTACCTGGGGACTCGCCGGTGGCAGCGCCAGGAGGACGGTGACACCTGGAGAGCACGGGGACACCATCAGCCAAGGAGCTGCCCTGGGTTTCCTGCAGGAACGGGGTGGAATCATGGTTCCAGGCGAGCACAAGGCAGTTTCCTCTCCAGCCCCTGAGGTGGTGCCATCCATCAGCTCCCAACTCAGAACTTGTGAGTATTTCACATCGAGGGGGATGCTCTACACAGCATCGGTGGGAAGAGATCAGTGAAGCACCAAGGCAGCTACACCTCATGGGACTTCTTTTTTTTGTACGTACTCAAGGAACAAAGCATTAACAAAAAGAAAGATAAAAGTGTGTTTGAGAGGCAGCAGCAGCCCCAAGCCCTGCTGGAGAAAAAGCTCATTCTTTTATTTCCACGCCGTCGTTTCCCCAAGCATTAGGTGGGGCAAAGAGCTTGGCTGGAAAGGGACTCAAAAAGGCTGAAACCAAAAAGGGTCCAGGTTATAAAACTGTATTTTGTTTGCTTTAAATTAAACTGAAAACTAGTTACCAGCTTATATAAAAGAGGTCACGTTTCAGAGGGGAGCGACCGCTCTGTCAGTGATACCAGCACACCAGGGATCATCCCTCTCCACCAGGAGGAACGAACAGAAAGATTCTGGGAAATACTGAAATAGTTAAAAACCAAGAGGAAAAACAACTGAATTGATGGTAAAGGTTTGGACTTCTATAAATAAACCAGCTTTGGTACTTTGGTGTGTTTCTAGCTAAGCAGCTGCACCCCAGGCGGGCACAGGTACCTCCCTGTCACAGGACCTGGCACCAGAGGCTCCACTCAGAGCCCACAGAGAAGGGGCAAACGGGGGGGTTTCCATCCAGCCTCCCCCTCGAGCAGCACCAGGGACGGACACAAACAGCCCCAGGCTCTGCTGAAGCACCACAAGCCCAAGGGGAGCAGGAACGAAGAGATGCCAAGGGATACAGACCTGAGGAGGGCTCCAGGAGATCCCCTCCGCTGCAAACACCAGCAGGACACACACAGAGATCATCATGGAAGGGGAAAGGGAAGAGCAGAATCGCAATTAAGACACTGAGGCACGGGGAAGCGACACGCTGTGACCCAAATGGAAAATTGTTGGGCAGAGAAATGGGAAATAAGGAGTTGTCACTGCAGATCCGTGCCATTGCTCTGCTGACGGAGCCGTGCATGGCTGTCACACCTGGGGACGGATGTCACAGGAGCCTAAAACAAACAGCTTGGAGGTGACAGACACTCAAAAAACCCACCCTAAAAAAAGGGGGGGCTTAAGGGAAGCTATTGAACAAAAAAGGAACAAAAGGAGAACTGGCAATTCATTAAGGGTCCCTAAATGCACACAAACCCATCCTGTTAGTGAAATAAACACAATCTAGCAATGTTTGCCGTAAGCCATGCAGCAGAACCTTGGAAGAATCCAGAATGACTAAGTTTTAATATATTAAAAACAAAAAGAAATACAGGGATTTTTCACTGAGGAATTCATAAATAAAACCCCCCGACCAGCTGTAAAGGAGGTAGCGATGAAAAGCCAAGTCCTGCACCAGGAAAGCATGTGCTACTGCGAGCAGTTACAGGAGGAAAACAACATTGAGAAACCCAATTTTATAGATATTTATACTGGGCTACAAGAGCAGAACTCACCGAGAGGCTGCAAGGGAGCATTTGCAAATCAATCTCATTATTTGTAAACTATTTCAAGTTTGTAATGGAGGAAGAGGACCCATGAACATACACCGACCACTGTGCTAGCACAAAGCAGGGGTTTGCATCTCTTTAATCTACAGGTACATGAGGTTTGGGTTACTTTGATTTTTTGAGGAAAAAATAAAAATAATAAAAAAAAAAAAAAAAAAAACTACAGCGTCCAGGAATGCCTGCTTACAAGTTAATTTCAAAACACAAAAAATCCAGAACTATGAATTAAGAAATTCTCACAAGAAAAATACTCCTCTTCTCCCGGGTTTAATATTTTTCCTAGAACTTTTTTTTTTTTTTTTTTTTTTTTTTTTTTTTTTTTTTTTTTTTTTTTTTAAAAAAAAAAAAAAAAAAAAAAAAAAAAAAAAAAAAGACTTCACCAGTTCCCAAATGACCTGTGAAGCGCGTTAACCTGAACACACCATGTCACAGCACAGCAGAACAAAAACAATAATGATCAAGAAGGCCAAGAGCTTGGAAGTACCAGGACTGTCCTCTCATACCAGAGCTGGATAAATACCAGGGAGCGCGGTGCATGCGTCTGAGAAACAGCTCAACTGGTGGAATTCCACTGGTGAAGTGTTGGATGGGGACGGGGATGGTGGGGCCACAGCAACGGGACATCAGGAGAGGCGCTCGTCAGGATTTGGCTCAAGGTGGACCTTCACATTGGGCATCTCCCCACGGTACAAGGAAGCTTTGCTTCCTTAAACGGAACAGAACTGCAGGGATTGGGGCAGGGGGGGCTAAAATTCTGCACATTTTTCACACCCTACGGAAGGCAGGAGCTTCTCCTTTTGTCCATCCCAATGGTGGGCCCCACAGGGAAGCTAATCTTAGGTAAGCTGGGATCACAGTTTACAGTGATCTGGTCACTGGAGGAGAACTTCTAGTGCTGGCACTTAGTCCTGAGCCAGAGGGACCTCCAGAAGGGTCCTGAGCTAAAAGGACATCCAGAAGTGCACTGGGTTACACCACAACAGGTCAACGATGGCCACCAAGCCAACTCAGATCCTGGAAATTCTCATCCCAGCTTCCTCTGTTCCCCTGACAGACAAGCTTTAAAGTCCTCACCTAAAAAAGATCTAAAAGGATTTCAACAAGGACAAAAAAAACCCCAAAAAAACACCAACGAAATTTAGAAAGCAAACTTGAAACAGGACCATGTGCTTGTGAAGAACCTCTTTAGTATCTGCGGTTTGGCTGCTGAGGTCAGGTCAATCGTACGTACATTGCAGAAAGCATGCATTTTTCACCTGAAAATTTGCACATGCACCAAATCGGAGGAGATCTAACGGCCAAAAAAAGGTGAAGACATCTCGTAATAAACCTCAATGGAATCTGTGATGGGAAAAATGGCTAAGTTAATACAGTACTTCATTATTTCTATACTTCTGGTGTCGTCACCACGATGTAGGAGTTGTGCACATTTCAACACCATCTAAGCAGCATTTGGAAGAAAAAGCAGCAAGTTCCTCAGGGTTTCCATAGCTCTCGACTACATAAAAATATGTGCTATGGGGCTTCTTTCCAAATTCTAATTAAAACAAATTTCATCTACTGCAAAATTCCTTATTCAACCACACCATCAAAAGTGCTTTTCAAGACAACCTGAATTGCACTGAATATGTAAAAACTGGCATTAACCTTTAGTGTTTAAGTGAGATTTTTAGATAAACTTTATCCATTACAGGTTACATGGCTAAAGTTATCAAATATAATAAAATTTCTACTGGAGAATATACTCTGAACTTACAATCTCAGGAACTTACAGAGGTTTAAGTATGGCCACATCAATCAACATGCAAGAAATTCCCAGGTTTACATACTGAGAAATATATAACACAGTGCTTTTAAAAAACAACTTTAGCATAGATTCTTCTTTTTAATTAGAACTGCCGTGTGGATTCTCACTAGGATTTAATGACCGAGGAATAATCCTTTAAAAAGGTGGTTTTTTTTCATTTGCAGCAACATTTAAGTTGATGAAAGAATAACTGATAAAAGGAGAGTTTGTATCACAGCAAGACGGAGTTCTGACAATAGGAAATTCTCAATCGTGTTCGAGTTCTCAAAATTTCACACAATTTTGTTTAGTGTACACTCACTGGAATAAAATCCCTATATTTTAGGTCACTTCTCTGAATAAATATTCTTACATATACTGAAAGGAATCTATTAACTATTAGAAGAAAAAAAAAAAAGAAAAAAAACAAACAAAAAAAACTTTTTTAGAAAACAAATCATTTCACTTAATGAAAAATTTAGCTTCTCTTCCAGTTCGTTCCGTAGAGTTTAGGTTTTATTACACGGGCACAGCAGTAACTAAAGTATTAGTAAAATAATGAAGGTGGTTTTGCTTACGACTTGCTGTGGGTATTCTGTGCAAACAAAAAAACAAAAAAAGACCTCACAATCTGACCTGGGCACTAGTGATATTTCACATAAAAGGGCCTTTCATGGAAACGTGTCAGAGTATCTAAAAGGTCGTGTGGAATACCAAGTTCAACTGTAAAAGAATCTCGGAGGGAAGAGACATCCATCTAACGTGTGCTTTCGTAAGTGCCCTTAATTGAAAAATTTCATCGCAATAATTAAGATGCTGGTATACTTTTCCTATTACACAACCTCTTACACAACCACATGCGGTACATTTATAGACAGATTTACAATCAGAAAGAAAAATGGTGTTGGTTTTTTTTTTTTTTTCTGTCTTGATAATAAAATTAGCTGTTCTTTGTTTCTTTTTTTACTTTGTTTTTACACAAACTGTAGTCCAGCCCGTTTCGCTCTCTCCACGCGGCAGGTGAGGTTCTAGACTCTCTCCGTGCTGGTTAGAAAAATCCTTTTACAGCACATTTCCCCTAGAATTGGGGTCGTTCCACATCGAACTGCAAGAGCACGACGCTCGCTCCGGGGTTAGCACTCTGCGCTGCTCGTTTTCTTCTTTTTTTTTTTTTTTCTCCTTCCTTCCTCACCGTCACTCATCGTCATCATCCTCATCTTCCTCGCCATCGGAGAGGGAGGTGCAGGGGCGGATCTGTCGGTAGCGATCCAGCCACTTCTCCACCATCTGGGTGACCAGCGGGTGGTTGCGCCGCCGAGAGCTCTTCTGCATGGCAACCAGCACCCCCCCCTCCGTCACGCAGCAGTCCAGCCACTCCCGGAGCAGCTTCTCCTGCTGCTCCTCGTTACCTATCTTTGGGGCAGAGAAAACAGGGTGACAACCAAGCCCCAAACATCACCACTAACTTGAAGCCAGCCAAAAATGGGACATTCTGAAATACCTACTTCACTACACCCAGTCTCCAAACTCACGCACACCACGTTTTCAACCAAAACGTGAAGGCTCTGCAAACATCCTCCAGCTATTCTGCCCTTCTGCCTTTTCCAGATGTCTGTTTCCCATATAGACTTCCTATATCCCAATTATTTGTGAGCAACTAGTTATTTATGGTAGGCACCAGAAATAAGAGGGTAAGTCCTCAAAGAGCCTCCCGGCTACACAAAGCTGTTTTTAGGACTCCAGCAGTTCTTGACATGAAACATTTCCTCTTGTAAGACACAAAAAACATTGTGACTTGCTGAAAAAATACCCCTCTCTAGACATAAAGCCCATCCTTTTTCTCCTCCACCTACAAGATGCCTGCTTTCTGCAATTACTTTGGGTTTTCCAGCCCTCCCTTTCCTAACATACACACTTCACTGAAGTGGTTCCCTGTCTTTATCATAGTTGTTAAAGAAGAAATGAGTTTTGTTATAAATAGAGGTAGAGCAGGCTGTAACTACCAGCCAATATTTGTTTTGCATCCTTTTTTTAAGGGGAAAAAAAAAGAAAAAGGCATATTTCAGTCTTGTGTTAGTGTTAGAATCCTTATTTCTGTGTCCTTTTCAAGCTACATTTCTATTCACGTGCACAGTGAAGTTACATTCCATTTTCAGAGCTATCAATAAGCATCAAACTGCAAAAAAAAGAAAAAGGCATATTTCAGTCTTGCATTAGTGTTAGAATCCTTATTTTTGTGTCCTTTTCAAGCTACACTTCTATTCACACACACAGTGAAGTTACATTCTGTTTTCAGAGCTATCAATAAGCAAATTGGTGGGAAAATACCCTTCATAATCAACTCAAATAACGAGGAAGGGAGTAGTATTAATTACGTGGAACAACATATTCCCTATAATTCCTTGAAAAACCCATGGGAGTGTGGAGGTTGCCAGGGCCGCAGCCTGGAAGTGGCTGTGATGGAGGTTACAGTGGCAGCTTCTTACCTCTTGAGCAGAAAGGAAGTGAATGTGCAATAGTTTCCTCTCGCTGTCCACCAGCGGCAGAAAGGTAACAGTAACGTCATCGTCAGTGTTGAGGTTAGCACCGGCGCCGCGATTGCCGTAGCCATCATTCTCCATGGCAACCAGAGCCGAGAAATGGCCCCTCGTGTAGCCCAGAGCAATGGGACTCTTCCAACAAAAACTCTGTTCCCATAACAAAGGCAAATACACACCTACGAGACATTAAAACAACGGGGGAAGACTCACAACTGCAGCCTTCAACGAGGAGGAGTTGAGAATTTTGATACAAACCCAGTGGTTTTGGTGAAACTCGGTAACAGCGGCACCTCAACAAGCATTTAACATGTACTTGGTTTGGTCTACGCTAATATAGGCCACACTTTCCAGTACAGCTAATTAGTATTAGATTAACATGAGATGAGTCAAGTATCTCTGCAACTGTACAAGTTTTAGACATAAAAGCCATTAAAATGACAACCAATCCCACATTACCATTCCCCTATAAACTGTGATCGATGGTATAGCCATGAACAAACCAAACCTCTGGTCTATAGCATAGCGATGACCAAAAACCAAGGTTAGAAAAGCAGTCTTATGTTTGGTAACTCTTCATAAAAATTAAAAATATATATATAAAGAAAAAAAGTATAATCGGATTCAGCATCACAGAAATAAAAGCTACAGCCAGGTATCTATTTTTACCAGAACAAAACCTCCGCCATCTGCTTACAAACCCTTACTGTGCTCAGTATTACTCAGCACCTAACCATCTAGCTCACCCCAGAGACAAAGGGACTTCTCATAAACATTGTATTAAGAGATTAAATTAACCCCCATCAATTATGCATATCTCGTCACCAAAACCACCACCACTGAAAAGCTGATGCTATTTTGCTCAGACACAACAAATCACCGATGTCACAGACGCCGAAATCAACGGCAGTTTTTCTCCCCGCAATTTTTAGCAATAAAGACAGCAACTGGCTGGAAGTCTCAAAATAAAACTAGAGGCCTATTCTTCTAGGAGTATAACTAATTTGCGGTGTGTACTGCTGCAAGACAACTCCAGCAGGAGCATGTTTTACCTTGTGACAGCGTAAAAATAGCCAGGCACGCAGCGCAGCGCACGCGTAGCGTAGCAACCCCGCGGCCCCCGGCACGTCGGGAACCCTCACCACAGCAAAACAAGGCACTTCACCTCCCCAGCAGCCCTGGAGACGGCAGGGAAACACCTAAAAGTCCTTCCGTTTCTTTTAGATCAACATTCACACAAGTTTTTACGTGTGGATCTAAGGATAAATCCTGTTAATACCTTCTCAGCGCTCCCTTCCTCCCGTCCCCTCACAATGACGTCTCGCTGAAATTCAACGCTCAACACAAAAGATGCAGAACAAGGGATCAGCAGTCACCAAAAAAAATTCAAGGCTTTAGAGGGAAGGACCACACACCTGGGCAAAATTCAAAGTTACGTTGACACCAACGTACTAACAGACAAATATAATGAAGACAATCCCTCAATTCCTGGAAATTCTTGATGCACACTCAGAGAAATAACTTCATTAACTCTTTTTCCAACCTTTAGTCTGAAGCATCAGGAAAACAACCGAGCACTGAGGGTTGGAAATTAATTTATTACCACTGTATGCTTCATTTTAAGTGACGTCTCGCTGAAATTCAACGCTCAACACAAAAGATGCAGAACAAGGGATCAGCAGTCACCAAAAAAAATTCAAGGCTTTAGAGGGAAGGACCACACACCTGGGCAAAATTCAAAGTTACGTTGACACCAACGTACTAACAGACAAATATAATGAAGACAATCCCTCAATTCCTGGAAATTCTTGATGCACACTTAGAGAAATCACTTCATCAACTCTTTTTCCAACCTTTAGTCTGAAGCATCAGGAAAACAACCAAGCATTGGGGGTTGGAAATTAATTTATTACCATTGTACACTTCATTTTAAAAGGGTGGTGCTACCTGTACACACGCTGGTTACGTCACTGAGGCCTTTCAGAACAGAAAGCATCAACATCCCCTGAGCCCTTTTTCTCCCCAGGTTAAAATCCTAAAAATACATCAAAAGGTGTCTCCTTCCACTCATGACTTCTCCTCCCAACACTTCAACTCAAGATGGGGGAGAAACCACAATGAAAAGCCCGTGGGTGGAAGTAAGTAGAGGGAGATCACCCACCATTCACCATTATGGCCAAAATAGATTAAATTTGGGGAAGTTTAATATCACTTATTGCCAGTTAATACAGACAGGTGCCCCAAACTGGTGGATTTTGGCCCCAAGAGCTACAGAAATCACAAACGAGCAAAGGGTCCCATCTCTGTTGACACCCCACATCTCATCTGAATACACAGCCAGGCCTGACACACAAGTTCTAAGTCACCTCTTCAGGAGTGGAACTCACCTGTGTACCACCCTACATGGAAATTCAGCAACTTCTTGGAATTTTCTTTCACTATTGCTTTCTCTTAGTAAAAAAACCCACACCAGTAACTCCTGAGTCCGAAGGCCGTGCTACGCTTTCCTTTCCTCCTCAGTGTTACCTGATGAGCTGCACAGGAATGGAATTCCAGGCACTACCCTGGAGAATATTTAGTGCTCTGGAGATTTATAGAAGTCAATCCAATACAAGAACTGAGCAGGTCGTGTGACAATGCTGATACATCCACACAAGCCACAGGAAGGGACGGGTACGGGACAGCACCTATCCTGGAAGCCACCCACATCAGATTTAGTGTCTCCAGCCTCATCTCATAATGATTTCAGCTACCTTTTTTCCTGTCGCTTTCCTTTCCTCCTCAGTGTTACCTGATGAGCTGCACAGGAATGGAATTCCAGGCACTACCCTGGAGAATATTTAGTGCTCTGGAGATTTATAGAAGTCAATCCAATACAAGAACTGAGCAGGTCGTGTGACAATGCTGATACATCCACACAAGCCACAGGAAGGGACGGGTACGGGACAGCACCTCTCCTGGAAGCCACCCACATTGGATTTAGTGTCTCCAGCCTCATCTGATAATGATTTCAGCCACCTTTTTTCCTGATTTATTTTAAAAGCTGTATGTTGATGCCACTGAACACACACACAGCCAGAGCAGGAGATACTGAAGGCTGAGTAAAGGGATCTTAATAGATTAAAGCCTTAATATTTAAAGCAGCGTTGTCAGTCAGTGGGAATCTAGGAAACGAGGAGGCTGTGGGTTATGGGAGTCCCAACAGTTTGAGCAAGGAAACCAAGCTGGAACAAGGAATTCCCAGAGAAAAATAAAAAAAATCTGATCAGGGAGACAATTTTGGGGGCGGACAAGGGGTTGTGCCATTTACAGGAGACTTGCCTTGGCAGCCCACGGGGCTGTCTGGCTTCAGCCGTGCTACCAGCATTTAATTAGCACACATTAACCACAAAAATGTGGTTGGACAGGGGTGGAAGTAACCCCAGGTAATTTGACAGAGGACTCCTAAGTTCACCTGTTCACAGCGTGGGGTGTTTCTATCCGTGGATGGATGGGGCTTGTGGCAAACAAATCACAAGTCATAAATATTTGGCTGACTGAATTCCTGGGAACACGTGTCCGGTGTGAGGTTGTCCCAGACACCTGGACACCCTCTGGTTCACAGAGCAAGGAAACAGTTCCAACATATTTAGGCCACTTCTCTGCCTCAGAGCCCAGTCTATAAAATAAAAACATTTTGCCAACCCCGCAGCCTCTCAGTTCAAAGCAACACAAACCTGCAGCCTCAGCTCTGTATCACATAAATAACTGCTCCTTCCTAGCCTTTTATCATCTCAAATAAAACATGTAACTACAAAAAGTATCAAATTTTACACTCTCCAAAAGATTTCACTTCCTCGCATAAAGAAATTTTGTCACTGCCCAAAGCTTACAAGCCAAACTGCTTCTCAGATGTTCTGAAGCCTCTAAATAGTTGTAAGAGGCTGTACATTTGTCACCAATGCCACAGCTTGGAGTTCTCCTGTACATTAAGGCTGTACATTTACAGCCATTATTACCACCAATGAATGGCATTTCAAACCCCATTTATTAAGCCCCCCGTGTCTTGCAGCAGCACACACCTTTGGGTAAGTTCTCACAACTGGGATATTTCATATAAATTACAGACTAAAGGCATGTTGAGCAGAGATCTAAACACATTTTTACTGGAGGCCACATGCCCATCATACCACAAAAAAAAAAAATACAAGTTTTGAGGGGATTGTTTTGCTCTTTTTAATAGCTAATGATAATCTACCTATAACATAATTCCACCCTCTTCCAGCCAACATCGCTCTCCTTTCAACTTCCTTTATGTTTATGATTTATAGCTGAAACCATTTTTAAGTCTGAATTGAAAAAACTAAAGGCTTACCTTGAAAGCGGGTATATCCTAATGTTTCTCCTCGGAAACTCTTATAATATTTTACTCCATAAACTATAATTGGTCTTCTAAGAATATGTGCAAGTACAAAAATGTGTGTCTGCTCCAAACTCGCTCCAGGCTAAACCAAACACAAAGACAGACATCACTTGAAACAGAACTTATCATTCTCTACTTTGAAATATATAGTCTCCAAATCGAGACAGAAAATGCTTTTAAGAGTGACCTGTCTTTGACAGGAAACATGAAAGACTGGAAGACTGCTACATATCAGTTGAAAATAAGCAAAAACATTTCAGCTCGCACAAAAAAATTAATCTGTCAGTAATGATTCTTAGTCCTATTGCCCAGATTCAAATCTCATACATCTCAGTCTCCAGTTAGAAGTGAAGCTCTACATAATGTTTAGTCTAAAAATAATTCACTTGTCTGAAGAAAGGTTAAGATAAATACCTTTTGATGATAGGAAAAGAGCACATCCAAAGCAAATTACAAGAAAATAGCACCAAAATCATGTTTAAAAGTGGAGCTAAAAGATATTCCAATAATTGGAAGCTTATAGGAACGTAAATCTCATTTTGGAAGGTAGTTATAAAATATCAGCTTGCTGAAATTTAAATAGTGTAAGCTTCCAGATTTGTAGGTACATTCTGAGAAGGAAACGTTGCAGGATGTAGGGGACAGGACATTAAACTGATGATTCTGTATTAGTTTATTCTACAGACTTCATTCTGACACCAAAAGAAAGACGTTTTTTGCAGTCTACAGCTTAATAGTAAGCTCATAAATTGGAATTTTAAAATGAAATTTTACTTTTTCATCCTGGCAGGAAGAGTCTACCCACTAACACTAAGATTTCCTTTATACATGAAAATCTCTTATTCCCGAGTAACACGCTGAGTTCTGGAAAATTCTTTTCAGAAAGATTAAAATATCCTCTCTAACATCCATCTATAAAGCAGTTTTCTCACCTGGCTCGCAAGAGAGAGGATGAATGCCCAGTCTTCCTGCCACTGTTCCTCTCGCAATGAGAAATGTAAACCAAAGCTTTGGGAATACCACGATTCCCACTCTTTCCAGCGTGTGTAGAACCTAAAATGTTAGAGAGAGAGGGAGAGAGAAGAGTGGTGAAAACAAAAACATTTACTCAAGCACCATACACCTGACAGCAATATCCAGCCCTTGGAATTCTTTGTCCCAACTCTGCATAGGAGGAGGAAGAAAGAGAGCAAATATCAGGAAAACTGGATTTTACAGTAATTTTTTTTTTTCCCTCAAATCTGCAGGAGACTCCATTTGATAATCCTGATTTAAGAGACCCCTTGGGATGGCAATGCCTACAGCAAATACACTGTAATAATGCAAGTTCCTAACAGCCTCCTGGCAAGTTTAATATTTCTTGTAATAGGTTTCTTGAAGCCTTATTTAGGTGTATTTATTTTTCAGTGTTGAAATACAGGGAACAAAACCAAGACATTCCCTTTCACGTAAGGGGAGTTGCTCGTTCTTCTCACACAAACAATACAGATATTCTCTATTGTTGATTATACCACGAGCCAATTAACTATTAAGTACTTGCCTATCAACTTCAAATAGATGTGGTTAAGAGGCAGAATCTGTTTTGTATCAGTTTTTGGAGCAAATTTCACATTATATGGAATAGTTACAAAGCAGTGTGGACAAAAAAAATATAGAAAGTGAGATTGATCTGATTTATGCTCAAAGTTTTAAACTCTTTTTCAGTGTTGAAATACAGGGAACAAAACCAAGACATTCCCTTTCACGTAAGGGGAGTTGCTCGTTCTTCTCACACAAACAATACAGATATTCTCTATTGTTGATTATACCACGAGCCAATTAACTATTAAGTACTTGCCTATCAACTTCAAATAGATGTGGTTAAGAGGCAGAATCTGTTTTGTATCAGTTTTTGGAGCAAATTTCACATTATATGGAATAGTTACAAAGCAGTGTGGACAAAAAAAAAATATAGAAAGTGAGATTAAAACTTTGAGCATAAATCGGATCAAAGTCACAGAATTTCTACTTTTCTGTTTATATTAAAAATTACCAATTTTGTACACTAGTTTAGTCCTAGCATTTTATCTTTCTTAACCAATTACAAAGAGAAAGGACCCACACATTAAAAAGCAGATGGTGGCTTTTTAAAATTGTAACCTTGGTCCAATGACTGCACTACAGCAAGGGCACAGCTTCACGTCAGGAACTCAGCTTTAGCGAAGGGTGCACTAAGCCAGCTTTTAAACAATGGCCTTTACTGGGAATACAAAGAAACCATTCTGAAGTTCAGCTTATTAAAAAAGTCATTGAAATGAACTCTTTTTCAGTGTTGAAATACAGGGAACAAAACCAAGACATTCCCTTTCACGTAAGGGGAGTTGCTCGTTCTTCTCACACAAACAATACAGATATTCTCTATTGTTGATTATACCACGAGCCAATTAACTATTAAGTACTTGCCTATCAACTTCAAATAGATGTGGTTAAGAGGCAGAATCTGTTTTGTATCAGTTTTTGGAGCAAATTTCACATTATATGGAATAGTTACAAAGCAGTGTGGACAAAAAAAATATAGAAAGTGAGATTGATCTGATTTATGCTCAAAGTTTTAAACTCACAGAATTTCTACTTTTCTGTTTATATTAAAAATTACCAATTTTGTACACTAGTTTAGTCCTAGCATTTTATCTTTCTTAACCAATTACAAAGAGAAGTGACCTACACATTTAAAAGCAGATGGTGGCTTTTTAAAATTGTAACCTTGGTCCAACAACCACGCTACGGCAAGGGCACAGCTTCACGTCAGGAACTCAGCTTTAGCGAAGGGTGTGCTAAGCCAGCTTTTAAACAATGGCCTTTACTGGGAATACAAAGAAACCATTCTGAAGTTCAGCTTATTAAAAAAGTCATTGAAATGAACTCATTTAATTACAATCTGAGAAAATTAACAGACAGTGAGTGCGTGGGGAGAAACCTTTCCTTGCATTTTCAGTAAAGATATAATCATCCTAAAATCTTGATGTATTTAATGGCCATCACCAACCAGGCTGGTTTTCACAATTACAGCTAAAAATCTTTGCATAGATTAAAAGACCTATTGCTAAGACATTCTGATAGGTCTCTGTGCTCACTCACAGCAATCTACCCAAAGGGAATCTTCTAGATCTAGCTAAGTTCCAGTTTCTATCCAAATACATCAACTGCTTCCATCTTTGCAGCTGGTAAGATATTTTGCCTGTTTTCCCCCAGAAATCTCCAACTGAACACCTTGTGCTAAATGAATTAATTGCTAGGACTCCTGAAAGAAGTTTAATCAGAATTTACTTAACAAAAAAAGAGAAGAAGTAAAAATAAACTACCCCACAAACAGCCCAATGGGGATGTGTTTTCCTAAAGAAGTTTCTTCTCTTCGCCAGCCCCAGACACAGTTATCTGTAGGCACTCACTGGAGGCTCTCTCCACAGCCTTGTAGACAGAAGTCAAGGCTTAGGGCTTTGATCTCTTTTAAAACAAACTTTTCAGTTTAACACAAAAGGACTGAACGCATTAAAAATAAAATCTGAAAGTCCACTTACAGCATATGCCTGTTCTCCACCGAGAGCTAGCGGTGGAATACAAAAAGGGACAAATCAGAACACTTTAGAGTAAGCTAAAAGAGTGCAGTCATTTAAAAGGTGAGTGAGTGGAAAATTGTCCACAGGCCAGAGCCTCTGGGAACTTCACTGCGGAGCTTGTTCCGAGTCCCAGACACTAGACTGTCTCTAGAAAATAGGTTCTTCTTTGTTCAGCATCTAAACAAACATAGCAAAATGAGGCCGAATGAGTTACATCAATGTTCTGTGTCTGAGTACAAAAATACCTGGTTTAAGTGTCTTTGCGAAGGCTTTGAAGAACAATTCCATGAGATAAAAGTTTAAGCACAATGTTGCTGAGAGTCGTGACTGCATTTAAAGAGCCTGTTCCTTCAGCAACAATCATTAAAGCCAGTGACAACATCACTTCCCAACTGCTACATGTCCCAGCCCACAAAATTAAGTGTACCTTCCCACATGGAATCTATGCAGCAAGTATAGGATGTACAGGATGATCAATTTACACCTGAACTGAACTAAAAGACTTCTCACACCCTCAGTCTGGATTTTTTTTGAAAGGAATTAGGCCTCAAGTCTGCTCTAGGATCACTACTAACATGTCAGTTGATTCTTCAAGAATTTCCACCATAGACAGACCAGTCCCTACTAAGGATGTAGCTCTGTAGAGGCTGGTACCAGAACCTGTACTAGTTCTTAGCAATTAAGATTATCCAGGCTGAAGGTAAGAAACTGGACTCAAAAAACTATAAAGGAACATGAATCAGTTAAAAAAAACCCCTGTGCTTCCAGTAAGGATGAAGATTAAGTGAATTCAAAGTAAAATGCAAATTCTGCCTAGAACACAAACTAAAAAGCTTAACCAGATTTAACACACTCCAAATAACGAGTGTTATGTTAGAAACAACAATCATTCAGCAACAGTTAACACTAACATTTTGAAAGATGGGTTTAAACCTCAGTAGTTTGCAGCGTGTTTTTGGATACCACGCTTGTTTTCGTTACCATAAAGAACCAAACCTGATCTATCATAAATTTCTGTTCTGGCCTCCGGGGAACTGCCTGCGATGCCAGGGACATTCCTGCCTGGTCAAGACGCACGCTCCATTATAAACAGCTCCGGAGCCGCGACAGACCCAGACGGAGACAGGTTCTCGGAAGAATCGTTACTGAAGCACCACTTGATTGAATCCTGCTCTGGGAATGCTAATTTTGGGGTGTCGTCACACGCTGGGGTCCAACTGGAAGAATTTTTCCTCTAAGCACAGTACGGGACTAAAGAAGGTTGCCAGCGTAAAACAACAAAAGTTGTTTTGCAGAACGATGAATTAATTCTACGGCCAAATGACAGCACTAGTTAAATGTCACCACTCTGCTTTACTGCCATGATTTTAGGAGACAGAAGAGGAACAAAAAGAGCAACACCGAATAAAGCTGTAACTAAGCAGATGGAATGAAAATACTGAAAAGTTTATGGAAGAATAAAAGGCTATCTTCTATTAACAATCTTCTGTGAAGCTTCCACCAGCAGCAGCGAGGCACAGCTTCGCATGATTTACATTGGGAGTAAACTCCAGTCTCAGCTGTGGTTAGCACACTCTTGACAAGCACGAAGCATAAAGTATTTTACTCTGGTTTAAATGCTATTTGCTGAATATCACGGACTATCACCGAGTTCAGAACGTCCAAGTTTCCAGTGCTCCCATTTAAAATATGTTAGATCTACATTTCTACACGAATCACACTGCAACTCCACATTTTGAGGCACATAATCCACAGAAAATTGGGGAGAGGAAGCTGTGGGTGTGGTTTTTTTATTTAATTCTATGTTAGATGTAAAGCTATCTTTAAAACCAAAGTTACCAATGTGAGCAGTCGTGTAAACTGTCGTGCAGAGCCTTCCGCAGCACGGAATCCTTGTCGTAAATGCCCCAGGTGGCCTGCAGCACTGAGTCCAGCAGGCAGTCCCCCGCCGTCCGGTTCCACAGCGCGTACAGCCTGCTGTCCAAGCGCGTGCCCAGCTCCAGCGACCAGTTAATAATGGGAGACTCCTCTTCCAGCTCTGCAACACGACCAGAACCTCTTTTAACAACTTGATTTCAAGCCTCAGAGAATCTGAACAGCAAACTAGTGGCATCATCTCAACAATTTACTCGTTTACATGAATAAAACTAAGTTTTCCTTCACGCTACAAAAAACAGGTAAACTACAGAAGCTAAACGCATTCCTTGGGCAAAATACTGTCAAGAAAAGATGACAAATACCCCACAAAACCAAACCACAGCCTTAAACAAAGCATCACATCATTTGAGGACTGTTTTGTTCAGTTTTCATTAAAGAGCTTGTGAATTAAAACTGTAAAGCTTTAAAAATCCTTACAATTCAAAAATGTATTACAAACATGATTTCTACACTCCATTCTCTCTCTGCTTCACAAATAGATGGTAAATGTTAAAATAATTACAGGGTGAAGATTAAGTTGAAAGCATCAAATCTATATTTAAAACAAAATGAGGCAACAAAGCCACAAATATACACACACTTTTTAAAGAAAGAAAAATAGAAATATTCCCTAATGAAAAGCATGGAGAGATTGTAGCCATTTCTCAGAGCATTTACCTTTCTGAACATCTCTATCAAGTACTTCATCAAATAACTTTTCTTGGACTGTGGGTGGTAAGTCTTCAATATCTGGAAAAATAGAAAGCAAATACAAAACTCACTTAAAGTTACTGTAAAAGAGATGTGTTACCAGCTGATGCTCAGGACTCACGCAACAGCTTTTGCCCTATCACCCCTAACGTCTCCTCTCAAAAGCTGCTATTATTTTTGGATGTGTCATTTGTGAGCACGGGCTCCATAGAGCACACACCTATCTCACACTGACAGTCATACCTTTTACGCAGAAAGGATCATCACAGGGTAAAAATGGATTTCTCTGAAGGAGAAAGTGAAGTAGAGAAGCACTTTGAAGTAAAAAACAACAAAAAAGGGAGTATTTTCAACCCTGTTTCTATCCTAAGTGGTAGTTTTCCACCCACCTGAATGGCTTCTCCTGCCCGGTCTCCCCCAATGGACAGCTACAGTTTGCCAAGAGACTTGTTCTCGTACAGAACACTCACTTTCTTAGTAGTTTTATGCAGACTTCAACAAAATAGTTCAAGGAAACTCTGCTAGCTTTAGCAAAATTGTTAAACAAGGGAGTAAATCAAATAGTTAAACACAAACACCTAGTATCCCTTCAAGCAGTCTAGGGGATATCTAAGTGGTATTTCAAAGGTAGAAAGATCTCTCTTAATTCCAGCGCTGGATCTGCCAGACCTGCTGCAATGCAGCTTTCCTTAGAATACACAACTTTTCTTCCATTTCCTCATGTCTAAAGAGGACAACAGATGTTCATTTCACAGGAACAATGTATGAGTTTAGGTGTGCAAAATACTGAGTATTAATAAGCAAATTCAACTAAGATCTGACCTCAGCTATTAAAACTTAATAAATAAAACCTATACAGACGCTCCACCATACAATGTATGAGTTTAGGTGTGCAAAATACTAAGTATTAATAAGCAAATTCAACTAGATCTGACCTCAGCTATTAAAGCTTAATAAATAAAACCTATACAGATGCTCCACCACAATCAGAAAGTCAAAGTATACATCCAAACCAAGCAATGCACAACTAGGTGACAAAAAAAAAAAAAAGAAAAAAACTAAAACAAGAAAAAAGAAAGTCAAAGTATACATCCAAACCAAGCAATTTGCAACAACAACAACAACAACAACAAAGACCTTCTTCCATCAGTAATAAGAATGTTGTAGCTACCTGCAGGTAACGTAAATGTTACAAGGTCAGTCAGAAAATAGCAAGCAAAGTCTCCCTTTCGTTGATGAAGAGATGCAGCAATTTCACGACGAATTTGTTCTGTGACCTCCGGACACACCATGGCAGGAATGCACTTGGCTGCATGTTGTGATACCTGTAACGTAACACAGTTACTGCTCTCAGTGCTATTTCTCCTTAATACAAAGACTCAGGAGCAATAACCACTAGTGGACAGTATTTTGTTAGCAGAGAACAACAGAGTATAAACATTGGTACCCTGAAAGATTAAATGTTTAGTGACTCTCAATGAATTAACGTCTCATTTGTCATGTAGCTGATAACATAGAGCTGGTTAAAAACCTCTTTAAATCAAAGAATTGAATTAACAGGTGAGCAATTCCAGTAGGAAAGGGAAAGGAAAAATAAAATAGGTAAGAGCTAGATAACAATAGGACACATACCTCAAATCTTATGCATGAGCCCAGTCTACATTTAACAAAGAACTTCATTACCACAGCACAAGACAGTTTCCTACAAAGAATGTTCCCAAAAACTATTAAGCTAAGATACTTAAATCTCTCCAGATTCTAATCATCACTGGCAGCAGGAACTCATTCAATGATACAGGGTAAGCGACACAGGGATGACACTGAATATATATTGAAAAAAAACCACATTTAAAGCCACATTTTCACTAGTTAACATCGCAGCAAAGTAAAGTATCACTGTGGCTCAAACACTACTGAACATTTTTAGAAATGATATATGGAGTAAGTATGCCTAGAAACTGAAACAAAACCCAACAGAGAAGTCTGTAAGGCAGTATTTCAGCAAATTAACTTGTTTTTAAATGTGTAACTCCATCCACCCAGACAGCTGTATGTAGGCAGCACAAAACTACCGGTATTAGCCATATATAAATATATACTCATCTAAAGGCTTTAACTACATTTGTCTTGCTCCATCTACTGTTTTTAATTACTCAGCCCTACACATTCCATCATCCTTACATGCTTCTCAGGCTGCTACTCTTCCCCGAAACACGAGCTTGAAGAATTGCATTAAGCATCAACAGAGGGAAGGATGCACAGTAAAAAATTGGCTCTGATCAGGTGAGGAACCAGAAGCCCGAGATGAAGAAAACAGACAAAAGGAGGTAACAGAATTACTTGTGGGCCTGGTAAGAGGGCAGAGATGGAGAAGTGCAAAGACAGAGGAGGGCCATGCAAAAATATACAAGAAAACAGAACATGCAAGACCAAGTAGAGCACAGAGAGGAACCAACCAGTCTATAAAATGGGCAAAGACTGGAAAAAAATGTAGTAATTTTGCAAAGCAAGACATTTGCCTTTCTCTAGAAGAGAAGCTCCCACAAAAAACAGGGAAGAAACACCAGGTAGACTTATTCATTAACAAAACTCAGAAAAAACTACGCTGTCATTGATCTCAGTGCTTTGCTTTTAGTGCATTTCCTCTCCCCCACCCAAAGCACAGGAAGCCTCACAATAGCTCACTTCCAGGTCAGAACCTGTGCCAAGACCGCTCATTAATGAGAAAACTGAATGTCCTCAAGACCATGACATAAGGAACAGTCTGAAAGTGAGCTCGCCTCTTCAGGAGAAACATCAGCAAAGGCACAAAGCAGCAGTTTGTGTATTCCAACAATATTAGCCTCTATCTTTTTAGCAAATAAAGTTACATGTCACTGGCTGCAAACAAGGGCGCCGTTACGTAAAGTTCCTATTCAAACTGTGCAAGGGCCAAAGTAACTCACCTCCGTGAGCAAAATTGCCAGCATGTCTTGTCTCTGGAAGCGTATGGCCAGATGGACCAGCGTGTACCCAACGTCGAAAGCAGAGGGGCGGTTCAGCAGGCGCACTTCATCCGCGGTGAGCTGGCGGGCAATATCTCCTCCCGAGGACTTGTAAGCTTCAACAGCAGCTAAATCACCTTCTACCACTCCTGAAGGGAAAAAACAAAAGAAAATACACAATTCATTTTAGCTAGTGAATGAGCCACGCTGCATCAAACCACCTTATTTAACAGTTTCTCTCTATCTATTCTGAGACGCAGCTAAATCACCTTCTACCACTCCTGAAGAGAAAAAAACAAAAACAAAATACACAATTCATTTTAACTAGTGAATGAGCCACGCTGGATCAAACTGCCTATTTAACAGTTTCTCTATCTATTCTGAAATAGACCTACCATACAAAGATCAACTGAATACTAAGGATCTTACAAACTTTTATTCCCTTTTTTTTAAACAGAAGACTACAAAACATTTACACTTACCTCACCCTCTAGACTATTCCACTATCCAAACTAGTTAGAAGATGGAGCAGATGAAAAGCCTGCTCTGAAGTGGCGCTGAGGACGCCTGATGAAATACCTGCCACAACAGACTCACTACATTTCATTTGATCAGCAGCACTGGAGTCGGCAGACATTGAGTACAAAGATTAGTTTGATTATTGTATCTTCCCTTGTAACTTATCCTGAAAACAAACTACTGGATCTAAGTGGGAGATCCATTAAAAGGTTTTTGGAATTAAAGTTTGGGGACTTTCTTCCCCCCAAATATGGTTTAAAACAGTGTTGGAAGAGGGTACAGAGCAGTTTCTCTTCAGTTCCCCATCTCTGCTACTGACTGAACTTACAGTTATCATTCAGGGCACCCTATTAAAACTGAACTAAAGAGATATTACACACAGATGCTGCATCACCTTTGTGTTGCTTAATTTCCTAAAGCAAGATGGGTCAGGGGACACGACCCTAATGTCTTCTGGAGTCCCTGGGAATCTCTAACTTCTGCACCGTGCTTCGTTTCAAGGCTATTCATGCTGACTGCATTCTTTAGCTGCAATTATCAGAATATACTATCAACAAGGTGTGGTGGTGTTATCTTTAACAACATGAATTCCAGTGTAAGACTTCCTAAATTTAGAAATTCCTTCAATTATAAAGATGCTATTTTTAGATCTATCCTTCGTAAGAGAACTGTGTAATGCTGAGTCAAAGAAACGGAAAAGTCATCTTAAAGCCATCTTTAATAGGAAGTAAGTAAAAACAGAAGAGTAGGAGGGCAGATCAGAGAAAAAAGAAAAACCTCTCCCCTCCTTCTGCAGCTGAACCTCCTGCCAACTCCTAAGAGCCAGCAGTTGAGCAGAGGCCACGAGGCTGGAGACTCAAGTCCTTCTTTCACTCAATTTGCTTCCCAAGACTCAAAGATCGATCAGCAGGGGAAAGAGATGAATGGCACTCACTCCTATTCAGGGCCAAGATGCAAACACCAGACAAAAAAAAAAAATTCCAACCTACACTCACTCCTATTCAGGGCCAAGATGCAAAATTTCCAACCTAAAACCAAACAAATCCTCCCCCCCAACAATAAAACCTCTAACAACAAACGGAACTGCCTTCTACAGAGCAGCACAGCAACTGCTAGGTCACTGGTTAATCCAGGATTTGGGAAAGCACTCTTAGCTCGGCCAGAAAGTCTATCGTTTTCAATACTGAGATTACACAGAAGAAATGCAGAGGGAAAACGGATTATCAGTGCAAGACCTTTCTCTACAAAGTTATCAGTTCTGCTTAGGAAGCCTCTACAGATAAAAGTCAGATTATTCATTTCAACAGTGGTGTACAGCGGAGAAGTTCCAGAATACAAACCCAACTGCAAGTTTCAGTCGCACAACATCTACCCATCCACCAAGGACTCAAAAGTCTTAACAGGCCAGGGCAGGATGAGAACAACACAGAATGACAATTTCTTGGTTTTCTAATGCATGTTTCTGGTCTGCCTATACAGACTAGGCCTTATTTAAAAAATGGAGAGTGGAAATGTCTTTTGAGTACAGGGTTGGCAATACTTTATCTAGAAGCACAGAACAGTGATGGTGTGCTAAATGACACGTCAAACCAGCACGGCTACAGCACACAGAGGGACAGTGATGTGACCATGTGCATGCATCATATCTGGTCATCCCCTATTCCTTAATCCAAAGAGGCAACTGACTATTTATAGGTGAGAGGGAAGGGAAGGGAAAAAAAAAAGCATCAGGAAATTCTTAGACCAAGTTCAGGCAAATTCACTTCTGGATGCACTGACTGTTTTGTAACTGAGTCTCAAGAGATAAACATGACACACAAAATCAAACCATACAGAGCTTATTCTGCTTAACTTTTTTGCACAGAGCCCATCACAAATTTATTTCCTTATGAAAAGCTTCTTCCTGCAAACCTGCTGCATGTCTGATGTCCAGTACTGACCTGCACTGAAATACTGTGACCCAAGTACCCAGAGCATCACTACTCTGTGGTCACTACAACCTCTCTGACCCCTTGTAGCCACAGCAAGAAAAGTCCAAATTTCTCTTTACTCCTTCTACCAAATATCAACTCTGTTTTAGCTGCTTCAAAAGAACAAGGAAAATTCCTGCCAGCTCATCAGGTGCCAGCCTGCACACAGCACCAGTACAATCCAGCAAACACTGAGCAAAAATATAGTAATAACCAGCAGATTGCCAGAAATCTGAACCAGAAAACACAAGTCTTGCCTCAAAACTATGGGCTAAAAACTTGCCTACAGACAACATTCATAAGAACTGTCTACAATTCCTAAATTCACTATCAGCACTCCAAAAGGAGGTCTCAATGTGCTTTTATTGACAATAGGAGGCACATCTCTACAATGGCTTTGATTTCCGTCAGATGAATGAGAGCCTCCGATTCATTAAGTCTATTTAAATAAAGCTTAACAAAACACTATTTACAAGAAATATTACAGAAATATTTACTGATGTTCTAATTCACTGCATTTCACAACACACAAGTGCCTGATTACTTACAGCAGCAGCCTTTGAGCCGTGTTCCGATGCTGCGCCGTGCCAGTTGGATCGCTCCCCGCTGACACCCCCTGCATTCCCCAGACTGCCAAAATGTCACAAGAAGAGTGGCATTTGCCTGAAGATTGTTCATGCAGCACCCAGGAGTGCCCCAGCAGCCAGACCTCTCGCCAGGGCAAAGCTCTGACTAGTTATAAGAGCCACAAGGATGCCAACAGATCCTTATTTAAAAAGGCTAAATTTAAAAAAAAAAAATCATCACCCAATAATAACTATTCGTACCAGCTTAACCTTGCATCCTTATTTAAAAAGGCTAAATTTAAAAAAATATTCATCACCCAATAATAACTATTTGTACCATCTTAACCTTGCTTTTTTCCTGCTACAACCATCTTTATTAGGTATCAGACACCACCTTACCTTCGCTCATATTAAATAAGCCCATAATTAGCCTAGCTGCTAAAACCAAATTACTTCAGCTAAGGTGCTATTAAATTTATTCTTTAGGACGTGTAAATATTTATAGGGGTTAGTGCAGTTAAGTAAATTTGGAAAATATGCAAGAGATTACAAGCATATCTAGGAAACTCAATCCTGTTTGCCCAAACCACACAGTCCCAATGGCTTCCGAACAGCCGGATGTAAACCTTTCCAGGGAAAACACTGCAGCAGCAGCCGCTGTTCCCTTCACTATCTTTCTGGTAGCTCTGGAGGGCACTGGCTGCCACAACTTGTAAATGAAACGGGGAAATTCTCTCAAATAGAGCGATGCAGTTCTGCTGTTTGTTTTTTTTTTTTTTACAGGGGCAGCAGAGAGGCTGGGGGAGACAGAACTTGAGTTAAAGGTTCCTCAATTTCCCAGCTGAACTTCTGGGAAGGCAAACGAGGAATTTTAGAGCAGCAAAAAGCAGCAGGGCAGTCAGCCAGCAGTGACTGATTCTGCAGAAGGCTCCTGACTCTTAAAAACTGTAAAAGCATCACTGTACAAGAGGCACATGGGCAGCCCTGCATAAACTACAGGGCAGGCATTCTAACTCTTGGAAAAGGCTGAACAGGATTAAGCTGAAATAAACAAGCCAAACCCAAAGAGAATTAATTTCAATCCTATACCTGCTAAAATAAATACAACATTTTTGCTAAATTAATGGAAGAGTGTGAAGATGGCTCTGTTTAGATAAGTTATCTAAAAAATAACTCAAAGATTAGAGATGTCTTTGATTCAAGGAGGTAACACATCATTTATGGCAGCAGTGCTACCACATTTGAGTAGATTCTTCATCTTAAGGGTGTCATTGTGCCTCCTACATGGCATGTTTGTAGTTGACTTCACTGTTCCTTGAGCCGCTTGGTAACAGAAGGCAAATTTCTCAAACAACCAAATCATACATTTAAAAAGTCAGAAGTGGAGACTGATCCCTCTGTAGCATACACCAGATCAGAAACACATGCTGCTTCTCTTCTGCTACAGGTGGTCTACGTGATAAATGCTCCACTGACCCATCTACAGACTGAGCCCCAGATTGGTTGAAGTGCCAAGGGGACCTTCCAGCAAGCAAAGGGCTGATTCTATGATCAATTGACCCATTAAAGCCTAATTCTGACACTTGTTAAAAATCTTACTGCTCCTCTAGCCACTGAGGAGCAGTGGCTGGACCACGTGAGCTGTAGCATCCTCTGGAGCTGAGCACTCACCCACTTCCATCTATTCATCAGGTGGCCACAAATAAAGTTTTATTATCAATAAAGAATTTTGAGCACCAAAAACATTCAGTCTGAGAAGAATTTCTCCTCTCCAAAGGAAGAACTCCTTCACATGCAAATATGACACATCAATTAACACAAAAGAGAGGGATTATCTGAAAATCCTTTATGGGCCTGTAACCACACCCTTCTGTTCATGCTCCTCTTTCTTCATTTCCAGGACCTCCCTTGGTAGAATTAGCACACACTCAACAGCAAGTCACTCTCTAGGGAATGACAGCTCGAGACAGAACGTTCTGCATACTACATTTTTTTAAAGTCAGCTTAAAAATAAGCAAATAACTTCCAAGAAGACATCTACCTTAAACCTGAAGCCACCCTACACATGAGAATATGACTATCACCTCTTCTTTT